CCACCCTCTTTCTTCTTTATGACCCCAGAGATCGGCAGCTCTCCTGCTGGGTCCCATTCTGGAAAGCTCTGCTTGTATTTAGTAGTAATTCTTCTTAAATATAACTTATTTCAGGGCTTTGTAGATATTTCTTCAGACAACCTCAACACAATATAATTAACAATCTTTGATATTCATTATTATTATTAATTATAGGAAGCACCATCTGATACGAAAATATTATATTTGTCCCCAGGATTCATCACTCATTTTCATTATCAAAATCATTTATCATTTTCTACCTATCACATTTTCAGTGAAAAACATTTTCTATAAGGAAGTATTTTGTACTTTCTTTTTTCAAAAAAATCATAATTTAAGCCTTTCTGCAGTTTCAATTCTCAGTTCTCTCCAAGTTGTTCGGAATTGAGCATAACGCATCTCCTTAAAATCCTTAAGTTGTAAAGGGCCACAGAGACTGTGAGATCCAACTCCTCATCTTTTGCAGGAGTCCAAAGTAAACCTTCCATGGCAGGGGGCTGTCCCGCCTCTGCCTGAATCCATCTTAGGAAGGGGATTCCCACCTCTCTGGGTATCTGGAAGGTCTCACAGATCAACCATGAACCATCTCAATGCAGCACTGATTACTGGGGAGAGGCTTATCTGTATGGACTGACCACCTAGCTTTGCAAACATGAGCTTCTCCATTGGCAGCAGAAGTGAAGCAAAGCAGCAAGATCCTCCACAGATTAAGAGCTGGGTCCTGCTTCGCAACATCATATTGGAGAGACAGTTTGCTCAAATCTGATGAAGCAAAGCAGAGGCTCCCCTTCAGAGACATGAACAACCTAATAGTTGGTTCCACAATCAACATCCCCTGTGAGTTTTCTCTGCTCAAGGCTAAAGATTTACTGTCCATCCCTCTTCAAAGGACTGAGTTTCCAGCCAACTTGGTTTCCCTTCTCTGAGCCTCTTCCAAAACTCTTTTTAAAATGTGCTGCAGAAAACTCAACCCTTCTGCACAGAACAAAGTTGAAGTAGCACTAAGCCTGATTTGGAAACTTTGCCTCT